TTATGATGTTTTCCAATGCAGTGCTACTTTTAATGCTTGTGGAAGGATAAATGTTTGCTATTCCATGGTCAGAGGGGTCACTTCTTTTTTCTGCTTCAGTACCCCAACGCATGATGGATTCATCAGTAATTAATCACTTGCAGATATTTCTAATTCTCCTGTGGTTTCATTGTTTTCATATAAAGATGTTATAACTATTATTGGTCACATTTCTCTGGAAACACTTTCAATGATGTAATTTGCAGTACTACTTATATACCCCAAAGAATTTTTTAGTTCTGCTTCTATTTCACTTTTATAATCAAATATATAGTGGGGGATTTCATTAAATGGACAGGATCATCTAAACATGATTATGGGTCAGCTTCTTCAGGAAGAAAATTTCCTTAGCTTGCCCTAAATCTGTAATAGTCAACATTTCTTCTCTTCTGCTTCAGTTTCATGAAACATACCTAAAGGAATTACATCTAAAATTGTCTAGATATCTGAGCATTTGCTTCTCTCACAGTGACTTGCTTATACATGTTCCTAAAGTTGCCAAATTCACATTTGATTCAGTTTAAATAGACTTCAAAATGGTGCTTAATACTTTTTTGCAGGCATGCGTAACTCAAACTGCAATATTTTTCACAAGTATTCATATTTCTATTTTTCATTATAGTTCGTTGTTTTCTTGATTAATTATTTTAGTTTCACTGACTAGTATTGAGGGTTTCTGAATTTCTACTAGCAAACTCTTCCAATGTAGCAAAAACCATTTCAGGGATATTTGAGCCTGACAGGGTCACAATGGATATCATATTGGAGATTATGTTAGAGCATCCACTCATTTAATCAACAAGCAAAGCAAATAAAAAGCTGTTAGTGTCTATATGCTCTGAGAAAACCTTAAATTCTGAATTTGTAATCCATCTTAATACTACACAATATTGTACTAATATCTTCTAGAATTGTATAAGAAATAAACAGCATCTGACTGAGATGCAGAGCTTGTCCTTAAAGTCATTCACACGCTCTCACTTCATCTCATTATATGGGAGAGAGTGCTCAGGGGATCATATGGGATGCCAGGGATTGAACCTGGGCTGGCTGCATGCAAGGCTAGTACCCTACCTGCTGTAGTATATCCCTCTGGCCCCTGCTGCTCTAATTTTTGTCTCTAATTAAAACCTCACAAATACAAACTGCTAATGAGCTTCTCAAAGTGTCATTCATTAGTGCTACAACAACAGAATCTAATTCATTTTTGGAGTCATTCAGAGCTCTTCTATCTATAAACTTGCAAGATTTTCTCTTCCTGAGATTTACATTTTTCTTATTGCATTTCATTATTTTTCTTAATAGCATCCAGAACAATTTTTATCACTTCAATTATTGTACCCTCTAAGGTGTGACTGAATATTAATAGATGGAAATCGACATATAAATCTAAAACAACTAGCTACTTGAGGGCAGCCGAGCTGACTGCTCAGTCTGGACTATCTGCTCTTTTGAACTTCTGTTTTCATTGGTCTCTTATGTAGCTGAATCTAGATATCATCATTACCTGATAGTTATCATTTCTTCAGTTTCATCTAGCCATTCCCTGTTAAGTCCAACCTATTTATAACCCAGCATAATGCTGCTATTTCTATATAATCAACCAGAGAGAACTAGAAAAAAATATTTGACATTACATTTAGTATTCTTCTTCATCAATGAAATTGATCTAGTCAGTTTCAGAACTGGATTTCTTTTTACTGGCTCTCTGATGACATGTATATCTAGGATCTTTCTTGTGTTGCTCATCTTGCTTAGAAAATGCTAGACCAGGCAGGTGTTCTAAAATAATATGAACCATGTCTTCTGAAACATCATTCAGGTTCTCCAAACTAAAAGACAATGAGGTGTTTTAAGTGTTTTATATTGTAGAAATGGTATGTTCTTCACTGAATGTTAAGTCTAGTTTAAAAGAAATGGACAAAATTTCCTCGATTATACCACAATACCATGTTTCTCAATTGCAGAATACAGGTTCTCAATCAGTTTCCACATTTTCAGAGCAGCTAAGGTGATGTCATTATGGGGGGAGCCAATTTTTTTGAACTTGTCATTTTGGTTTGCTAGCATGTCATCTGCATCTGAGTAGAGATGGTCTGAGTTAACTCAAACATCATTTCATGATAAATGTTTCTTAAAATCAACTCCGTTTCTTCTTTCAGATGATATTTAAAGTTTACAAAATTATTCTGCAATTGCTGAGTCTCATTTATGGTTTTTTCTTTTACATTGAAAGACAGTACGTGTCTTACATTTGTTTCTGTGACCGTCAAATGTGGCTGTCAAATCTGCAGGTTTTACCTTGGGAAATTCAGAGACTCTATATTTAGGGTCAGATATTTTAAGTTTTGCTATGTTAGGATATCCCCCACCCCCCACCCCCGCCAATCACTGTACTGTTTAAAGGTGATTTTAAAGGTCTTTCATCTGCCTTTGCATGGGACTCTGCCTGAAAATCCTGACTTGTCTCACATAGACATATTTCACTGCATACACTGTAGCAACATGGACTATCTGGAGGGGAGTAGGTTGAATCAGGTACTATATAACTTTTATTTATATATATATATATTTTATATTTTACAATGACTTTTTGAAATAAATATTTTATTTGGAGGATTTTTAAGGTGTGGAGGGGGAGAGAATGAGAAAGTAATGTACTCAAGAGAGAACACAGGCTTCTCCAAGGGCGGAGAGAGAGACCCTACACACATCCTAACATTAGACACGAAAGCATGAAAGTACACATCTCAAGAGGGGAGATGTGGGCGACACATGTGCTTGGGCACCACATGTGCTCCTCCACATGGGTGTAAGCAGCACATGGGCTCAGGCAGCATATGCACTACAGTGACTTTTTAAATAATGTATTTGTATAATGTTCTGGTCACTGCATCCATGACACAGCTCATTACATTATTAATTATACTGTTTAGTTCTTTAGAGGTGAGCAGGGATATAAGGGAAATCAAGAATGAATTTACTCTATTTTAGGGACAGGGATTAAACTTTAATTCTTTTTTTTTTTTGTTTATGGGCCATACCCAGAGGTTCTCAGGGATTACTCTTAGTTCTGTGCTCAGGGATCACTCCTGGCGGGGCTTGGGGGACCATATGGGGTACTGGGGATTGAACACAGGTCAGCTGTATGCAAATCAAATACTCCACTCACTGCACTATTACTCTACACTTTAATTCTTTATATAAAACAGTACATAGCTGGAATACAGCCACGGTTTCCACGACAATATCTATTTAGAACATTAGATTTATTCCAAGTTTGTTTTTTATGTGTGGTTGTGATTTTTTTAACCATACTGGGGATAGAACCCAGATCTTCACACATGCAAGGTATACACTCTACCACTGAGCCCTGTGATCTTTAAGATTCCCTTTGGAAACTTTATTTTTAGCATATATTATGAGGATGACTGTTTTTCTCATAAAAATACCCTGGGAAACGTCCTTTTGCTATAAGAGTTTTGTTGAACTTCAGATATAGAAAGACTGTGCATCTTCCATAGGAACTCTACTTCTCAAGGCTATAGAAACAAACCAGTGGCAGCAAAGGCCGAATACCCAGTACTTTATCTATGCATCATTAGTTATTTGGGTGGCCAGGCACCAGATTCCTTACAGTATGGACACTGCCTCTCAATTATCTTAAACACCTCATTTTATGTAGCATACACTTACCTGAGAAAAACTATTTTATTTTATTTTGATTCCCCAAAAACTTTTTATCACAATACACATAACATAAAATTTACCATTTTGTATACTCCTGTTGTTGTGGAAGAACCACTCCTGGTGGTGTTAGGAGCCTGAGATACTTCTGGCAATTCAGGCCCAGTGGCAAAGGGATCAAACTCATAGTTTACCGTGTGTATGGCACGAGCCATGATAAGTTATTCAACTCCTTGTTTTAATTAGTCTAAATCCATTCAAATACTTATGAATTAAGAATTTTAGTATATATTATTCTCTCCTTACCAGATATTATGTACAGCAGACAAACATTATTACTGTTTTGGTTTCTGGATCACACCATCAGGTAGCCAAAGGCTACTCCCTACTCAGTGCTTCAGGCACCAGAGATTACTGGGGCATGAACCCAGGGCTGCAGCATATAAAGTATGCACTCCAATCCTTGTAGCTATCTCCCTATTCCCCATTACTACTCAGGAGGAAAAAGCATTTACAACTTTGATATATGAGGAATTACAAAGTTTTTTTAAATAAATTGTGATCAACAGAATATGAAATATGACTTCTCTGATTTATACAAAAGTATTAAATAAATACCTTTTTATTGATAGTTATGTATAGGTCTTTGCACTTGTTGCATGTTCCGTGAATGAGCTGAGTAAGTGTATGTATGAAAGTATGTGTAAGAGTGTGCTACTCCTCAGAACCCCTTGTCCTGAATCATGAGTCTTCTGTATAATCCCAGAATTGTGCTCATCATTTTCACCTCTTATGTTTGCCTGGTCCAAGTTGCAAAAATCTCAAGTAATCAAATCCCTTCCTTCGATGAAGTAGCCATCCTACGATTCTTACCCACCCAGAAAATAATGAGATAGATCCAGTATCCTGGCTCGCTTGCCCAAGGGAGAATCCTGAGTCAGAAGCTGCAAAGGTCTGCAAAAGTACTCCCCATAGTGGACCCTCATCATAAAGGGGGCTTATGGTATTTGATGATGATTAGATCTCTCAAAGCTCCCCTTATCCACCCTCCTGAGAACTCCTGTCCAAAGTGCCAATAATAATAGCAATAGACTCTTATAACAATGACTTTGGATCCAAGTACTACTTTCAGGTTAACTGAAAATGGACGTTAAAAAAGAGGAAAATATAAAGAGGGAGACTTTAATGTCAATAGATAATTGCTGGTTGTCTGAGTGATAATAAGAAAATGTCCTAAAATATATAGTTTTATAAATGAACTTCATCATACGTACTTTTCCTCGAGAGAGATTTTGATTGAAATGATGATGTCTGAAAGATAATAAGAGTGATTTTGTTACTTATGGCTAGTAATTTATAAACATTTCCTATGAGTTCAAAATCATTGATTCAGACTAACCCTTTTGCGTTTGGGGGCTTTTTCCTTCCCCAGCAATTCAGTAAGAATAAGAAGCTTAAAAAAAAGAATCTCCCAATATTTAGGCTCCTACTTCTATTCTGATCCCTGAACACGCTTTACTACTCAGTGGAACAGCTGCATAGACAGTAAAATAATAGCTGCAGAATACACTAACATCTAATATTACTACTTTTTAAATTTAATTTTAACTTCCAGCTATTAACTTTTGGGGGAATGGTTCAATTCACAGTTGGCGGTACTCATGGGCCAGTGCTTAGGGTCACCCTTGGTTATGCTTGGAGGACCATCCGATGCAGGGGATTAAGTCCAAGCCTCCTGCATACCAAGTATGTGTTTATGTCACTGCAATCTCTCTACAGCTCTAATGTTACTACTCTTTCTTGATGCACCTTAACCATGTTTGCTTTGTAGTGATCTGGGAAGAGTATGATGAGGGAGGAGAGAGGGAATGGACTAGTTAATGTCTGTTTTGCTTGATCAGTGATTTCTATAATCCATTATTCTACCAATCTTCTCAAAACTTATGCTTTCTTCCCTTTGCCCCACATTAAGGAAAGATCTATGGAAAATCAGTGATAGTGAGGGATTAAAATAACTGGTTTACATAATGCCCAAAAGTAGAGAAAAAGTACTCCTGACCTTCTGATCCCCAGAAGATAACATGAAAAAAACCGCCACAGGGCTAGTCAACCACTGCTTAAAAATTAATGTGACAAGATTAAATTTTAGTCTAGGTCTTTGGAATACATAATTTTTAATATAAATTGCAGTCTACCTCTATCTCATGCCGATAGTGTTGAGATCTGTTATTCAAACTATGTATGCATTCTAGTGGTTGAACTGAATTAAAACCCAGTGCCTCTAAAATAAAAAAATCAAAACAAGACAGTACCTTTGGATCCAGAGATAAAGTATAGGGGTTAAGGTGTTTGCCTTCTATGGGACTCACTCAGTTCCTGGAATCACATGGCACCACCAGGAGTGATCCCTGAGCACAGAGCCAAAAGTAATCCCTGAGCACTGCTGACTGTTGCCCAACTTTCCCCCCTGCCCCCAGTTAAAAAGTCCCTCTCTTTCTAACAACAGCATTCTAACATCAAAGTTGAAAACTAGGTAGTTCCATGGGTGGTTCTCTTTTTGACATTTTATCAACTGTCCTTGTCTTCAAGTCACTCTCTGGAATTACTCATGTCCCCTTCTTTCCTCCAGATGCTTTTCAAAGCACAACTGTGGTCAGGGGCAGTGCTTTATTCATCTGAATAGATTCAGATTTAATATGATTTAAGTCTATCTACATTTCGCATTTCAAAAGAAAAGTCTTTAATAAACTTCTGTGACCAGCACCTAGTTGTTTTACATGATACTGCTTTCCTCAAAACCGCCAGTCACCCAGTGTTGAACATACAAACTTGCAAACAGTCTTTAGGGCTACAGTCACTGCCTTCTTTACTGTTTTACCTCTTGCACCATTATCTCAGATCATTTGATTTTTTTCATGTCTTAGTTCCCAATTCTGTTTTATAAAGCTTCCTGTGTATTTTTGTGTGTGTATGCATTAGAAAAAAACTAAGGGGGGAAGAGAGAGGTAAGACAAATAGTGAAGCAGATATGATTTATCTACAGTTGAGTCTTGTCAGCTGCATCTGACAAGAGGCCCAAGATAAAGATCCTACCTGTGAAGAACTGTAACCCTAGTTGCAATAGGTGGAGCCAGCTCAATAGGTGTTAATATATGTTTTGTTGGTTAGCCTAGCATTGCCTGCGCATATTGCCTAAGCTATAGGCCTTTAACTCTGTAATTATGAGGAACTGGGCAAAGCTCTAGGACACCCAAGTAGTTCTTAGAACATTTTCTATTCAAAAGGCAAATGATTCTGTAACTCTATAGCCAACGGTGAGGGTATGTGTGTCAGGTAAGAATTAACACTTCATAAGACTACATTTAATCATTACTCTCTCACCTTTTTCCTAAATTGTCCTAATATTAGTGTACTAATCAGTTTTCTTTGTATAGCACCTTTGTATTTTATGAGCAATCAGTAAGTCAGACAAACTGTTTTCTATCACTACTATACTCAAAATTCTTCTCTAGCTGACTTGGTGTATGTCAACACCATTTACTGCCACATGCTACTTCACTTTACCCAATCATTTTTATGAGAGTTGTCATTTACAAAACACATCCTGGATTTCTGTTGTTTTATTCAATGCTTGAAAAACATTCTTCTGAGTTTGTGTATTCCATTAGGATTTATATATATATATATATTTATGTAATATCAAAGAATGAGCAGTTACCAAAGTATGAGGAATGAAAGACCACTACACAAGAATCAGGCAAAACCTCAATTTCACCAGTGGCCTTTACTATTTTAGATGGATTATTTTGGATTACAGTGTAAATATCCTTAGGGTAGGATAAAAGACTAAGTCATTAATACTAAATGGCAAACTATTATTATTAGGAAACAACCTCAAAAAGCACAAATAATACATGATTCAATTGACTGAGATCCCAGAAAGCTACCTGATGAGACAAGTAGTGTTGACTGAAAGGAGTAAATGTTGCTGATTAGCCCAGCACTGTATGGATATATTGCTACAATTAAGAAGAATGGAAGGTGGAAGGAAGGATGTGAAAAACCTTTGTTACTTATTTTACCTTTTTTTTTTGCTTTTTGGGCTACACTGAGCAATGCTCAGGGCTTATTCCTGGTTCTACACTTAGGAATTATACCTTGCAGTGCTCAGGGGTCCATAGGAATGCTGGGGATCAAACCCAAGCCAGCCGTGTGTAAGGCAAACGCCACCCCCCGCTGTACTATCACTCCAGCCCACCACTTTTATCTTAGTGCTGAGAGGTTATGAACTATGAGGTTCAGTAGAACTTTAAGAACAGAGGGTTCCATGAGAAAATCTATTCTCAAGCAATATTCTGTTTATGAAAAATGTGAATTTTAAAACAACGCATTAATTTATTCACTTTTCTTGGATACTTACTTAACCAATGGATGCTGAGAGGTCTGAGGTATATAATCTGTAAGTAGATTTTCAGAGGGCAAAAGAAAATTACTATTTGTTCGTATTCTTCACACATTATTTACAAAAAGGTAAAACTAAATAGGTCTTCATTCTCTGTGGTCACTGCTACTTGAACCCTCTAGGAACTCCATGGAAACAAAATTCACTGGAAGATATGGGACCACTGTCTACCTCACCAGACGTACTTCTATATAACAGCATGCAATTCCCTTTGCCTTTCCCCTATTTCCTTTGTATAACTTTAGTGTTTCTTATTTGTTTGGTTTTTGTTGCAGTGCTATACCATGCCCAGCACTACAGTGTAAAGATCCCTCCATTATTCACTCCTTTTTAAAAAAATTTAGTTATAGTTCAGTTTTTATGTTTATACAAGTATTGGAATTTATGATTTTGGTGTATGTTACCTCATTTTACCACAACCAAAGTGCCCAAGACTAATATGCCAATGCCCCTGTATTCCATATAGTCCACCTCGTCATTCCCTCTTAGCACTCCCCTGTAACCTCATATTCTCAATTTTTGTAATCTAATGTCTATATCCTTGATTTGTTTCTCTGTAAGCCATAGGTGAGTGATATTATCCAGTACCTGTCCTTCTCCCACTGGGATTATTTTGCTTAACATAATATTCTCTGGCCTCACCCAAGTTGCTGCAAACTGCAGGGTTTTATTTTCTTGTGAATGTCTAGTATTCTATTTATTGCCCCTCTCAAGTTTCTTAGACTGTAGGACTTATGTACCTCATGAACCTCATGTGATCTCCTACAGAAAACTTTCCTAGAAATCTGCCTACATAGTATGGTCCAGTAGCACCTACTTACAAGCTTCTTTTATAGGATTAACTATATTTCTATAGGCTTGTGATTATTAGTTTATAGTACCTAGCATATAATAACATGTGTTGGCTCACTTTGTTCACTAGTCTACCTATCATTAGTCTTTTCTCATTAAAATCCATTTTTTCTCTTTCCTATCTATTGAATACCACCACTGTTCACTATCTACTTAGTTGCTCAGTCTAGATATTAGATATTAGGGCATTGTCTTCAACTCTATCTTCTATATTTAAACTGCAACCAAATTTCACCAATTGATTCCTATAGTTTAAGTCAAATATGTTCCCAATTCTCCATTCTTAGTGCAATTAATTGATCAGAACTTATTTTTAAGAGGCAAGCATGGTGTTCTAGGTAGGACTGGTTGAGAGATGTGAGCTAAAACCCTGGCATTGCCACATATTGTGGGGGAAATTTGGGTGATACCTTACCATTCTGAAAGTTAGTATACTTGTATGTATGGGGCTGAAGTGATAATGCAGTGGGCAAGGCACTTGTATTGCACACACTGATCAGGTTCAATCCCCGGCATCCCAAATGGTCTCAGAGCACAGCCAGGAATAATCCCTGGAGCACTGTTGGGTCTGACCATCCAAACAAAACAAAATAATTTATTTGTGTGTAGAGTGATAGATGAAAATAGTTCTGACCACATTATTGGAAGGATTAAATGAGAAAACATAGAGATTAGCAGATTAAGTGCTTATTAATTTATTTTTGGGCCCTGGGCTAGAGGTTTGATGCTAGACCTTAGAATGTGATGTAGTTTGGACTCTTCAGTACCAGAGATCTCCAAGATCACACCAAGAAGTGGGGGGTATGGGGGTGGGAGGGATACTGGGATCCATGGTGGTGGAAAATGGGCACTGGTGGAGGGATGGGTATTTGATCATTGTATAATTGAAACCCAAGCACAAAATTTGCAAGTCTACAACTGTATCTCATGGTGTCTCACTAATAAAAATTTTAAAAAAAGAAGTGTTTGGGGGATCAGGTGGTGCTAGCAGATGAATCCTGTTCCTTTACTAACTAACCCTGAACCAATAAATGAGTTTTTAAATGTTCTCTTTGTGATGTATCATCTATTGAATGAATGACACACACCCAATGTTGGTGGGACTGTAGTGAAAAGGGAACCTTCAACCACTGTTGGTAGGAATGTCATCTGTTTGAGCCTCTATGGGAAGCAATATGGAAATCTATGCAAAAAATAAGAATAGAACTCCTAAGCAATACTATTTGTTGGCATCTATCCCCAAAACAAAACAAAAAAACATTTATTCAAACGGATATATGTACATCTATGTTCATGTTCATCACTGCACTTAGTACAATAGCCAAGATATTGAAACAACACAAACATACAATTATGGATAATTGGATCAAGAAGTTGCGATATACATACATACATTAATAAGTAATGGAATAATGAGCCGGAGTGACAGTATAGCGGGGACAGCATTTCCCTTGTAACCGGCTGAAACGGGTTCAATCCCCGGCATCCCATATGGTCACCAGGAGTAATTCCTGAGTGCAGAGCCAGGAGTAGTAACCCCTGAGCATCCCTGGGTGTGACTCAAAAAGAAGAAAAAAAGAAAGAAAATATGTAATGGAATATTGCCACTCCAAGAGAGAACAAAATCATGCGAGTTGCAGTAAAACAGAAAGAAAGGGATAGATATAAAATGATATCTATCATATGTGGGACTTAAAAAAAAACTAACAAAAGGCCAAAAGGCAACACAAGAGAAATGATCCACACAATTGAGTTTGGGGGATGTTGAAAGGGAGGGCTGGGAATTGGGTGCATTAGTGATGGGTTGTAGTGATAGAATTATGTGCTGGAGAAACAATTATTTACAGTATTTAAAACCACAGAATCTTGGGGGTGTGGTGCTGCTAGCAGGTCAACCTTTATCTATGTGGATAGTGCATCCAACAACTCGAACCCAAGTTTCCTGAGAAATTAAATGGCCAAAAGTTAGGTACGTGGAAGCCACGCCCACAAACCACCTCCAGGTAAGCTATACTAGTTCATTTATCAGCCTCTCAAAAGAGATCAAAAGCTACAAGTTAATCTCAGACCAGGTAAATCAGAGTAGAAAAGCCCCCAGCAGCTGCTTGTTCCCACAATCCAAAATCATCGCCATGTCCCAAGACGTAGTCTTCTCTCTCTGGACGGACCTCACTGAGATATAATCTGCTGAAAATTCAGATATGCAGCTTTTGTGACTGAAATGTCCAGGCTTTCTCGGGGTCGGGACGGGTGACCTCCCCTCACTTCCCTACACTCCTGGAAGCAGATCTGAGGTCATCCCCATGAACCAACTCCAGCAACAGCATGTAAGCTCTTCTACTGGCCTTGCTTTAGAGACCCATAAATAAATCTTAGACAGATCAAAAGCTGCAGTTAATCTTAGACCCTCAAATGCCTGAGCAGACCAGGATAAATTAGAGAGGGGGCAGGTCAAGTGATCCAGCCGGACTCCACCCTCTCAGGACCTCTGAGGTCCTCACCAAGATATAATCTGTTGAAAATTCAGGTATGTGGGTTTTATTGACTGGAATCTCCAGGCTTTCTTGGGGTCTTGTTGGCTACCTCCCACATATCCCTGTAATTCTGGAAGCCTTGGCAGTCAAATCCACACCCCAAACCTGCCACCTAATTAAAAATCTACTTCAGCCTTACCTTCCAGATAAAAATACTGAACACCATGAAAAAACAAGATGATCTCTTAGTATCTGTATTGCAAACCATAATGCACAAAAGGAGAAAGAAAGTGCCCCTATGGGGGTGTGGGTATTGGGGGATGATGGGAGGAAAACGGGGACACTGGTGGTGGGAATGTGTGCTGAATCATTGTTATGACTGAAACCCAACCATGAACAGTTTTGTAATTGTCTATCTCATGGATTTTCAGTTAAAAAAACACAAAATCTCAATCAATAAAAATAAATAAATTGTTGTATTGCCTCTAGTCTTTTTTCCTTTAATTGCAAACTCTGATCACTTTTATTTTATCCTTAGTTTTTGTTTTATTTTTATTTTTTTATTAGTGAAACACCATGAGGTACAGTTGTAGACTTACAAGTTGTTGTGCTTGGGTTTTAATTATACAATGATCGACTACCCATCCCACCACCAGTGCCCATTCTCCACCCCCATCAATCCCAGTATCCCTCCCACTCCTCCCATCCCCCATCCCACCCTCCCTCTGTGGCAGGGCACTCCTTTTTGTTCTATCTCTCCTTTTGGGTGCTTTGGTCTGCAGAAGAGACACTGGGTGGCAATCATGTTCTGTCTATAGACTACTTTCAGCATGCATCTCCCATCCTGGGCGGATCTTCCCAGCACCCTTTATTTGGTGCTCCCTTCTCTATCTGAGCTGCCTTTGCCCCTACAGTGTGTGGCTGGCTTCTAAGCCATGGAGTGAACAACCTGGTATTTATCACAGCTGCTCTTGGGTGTTAGCCTCTTAGTTTGTTACTTTATGTTACCCAGATTAATGCAATCTTTCTATGTCTGTCCCTCTCTTTCTGACTCATTTCACTTAGCATGATATTTTCCATGTAGTACCACTTGCAAAACTGGATGACTACATGCAAAAAACTGGGCTTAGATCTCTGCCTAACACCATGTACAAAAGTAAGATCAAAATGGATCAAAGACCTCAACATCAGACCGGAATCCATAAGGTACGTTGAAGACAAAGTTGGCAAAACTCTGATCATTTTATGCTCCTTCTAATATTATTATTCAGTTGTTTACCTTTAATAACAAGATAAAAGGTAGATTTCTTGCTATAACCTCCCAGAATATTCCAGTCAAGCTTCATCTTCTACACTTCTCTAATGAGCTTTTAGCTAAACTAACAAAAACAATTTGCATTGGAGCATATTACTGATAAATGTATTTAGCAATATCTTCATAAATATGTTCCCCTTTCTTTATCTTTTATATTCAGCTCAATTGTGGCTTCTTCTGTAAAAACTTCCCGGTTTCTCTATACCCTTTTGAAGTTTGCACATACCTCTTATTGTCCTTATCATATTGTATTATTATTATTATTAAAATGCTTTTCCCCCCACTGAGCTGGAAAAATTCATGGTAGAAACCATGCTTTTTCTACTTACTATGTTCAATATTTAGCATAGTGCTGTGCATGAAGCATAAGCTCAATAAAACATTAGCAAATTAATAGATTTGAAGGATTGACTTAACATTAGTATTAACTTAGTATTGAAGGATTCACTTAACAATTTATTATGTTTACCTGGATCAAGGTTGAAGCTTAATTTCTTGCTCCCCTTTCCAGATAAACATTCAGATGGTACCTACAAGTGCCACAAGAAAAATAGGATCAAAGATTATGGGCATTTGAAAAAAAATTGAACACCAGCTACCTACTTAACAATGCACTATTGAAAATCCATTTATAATAAATCTACTTCATTTGGCTTAAAAATTCATTGGTATTCTAAAATTAACCAGATAAGCATGGAAAGTACTAACTGAATAGCTAAAGACAGTATGTGTAGTATTTGTTTCTTTACTTATTTATTGGGCCTCTTGGATGGGGAGCTATATAACATCAGGAATATGCTCAGCTATGTGCTATCTCTGCAACTCCTAAGTGTGTTTTTTAAACAAGATTTCTGTCACTATTCTCCGTTGTTCATCGATTTTCTCGAGTGGGCCCAGTAACATCTCCATCATGAGACTTGTTGTTACTGTTTGGCATATCTAATACATCACGGGTAGCTTGCCAGGCTCTGCCGTGCGGGCAAGATACTCTGGGTAGCTTGCCGGGCTCTCTGAGAGGGGCGGCGGAATCGAACTCGGGTCGGCCATGTTGGCTGCGTGCAAGGCAAACGCCCTACCCGCTGTGCTATCGCTCCAGCCCTAAACAAGGTTAACAATAACGAAATGTTTTTAGAGAACTAGAAGGCAAAGAGAAGATTATCTATACACATGGACTGTGATTCTAATTTGGCCAAAACAATTATCTGCTTATATAGTAATCCAGTAAGATTTAATCCAGTAAGATTTAATAAAATACAGTAAGATTTAATATTTTCTCTCCAACTCTGAGAATGGAATGCAAACAATACAAGAAAGAAGTACATTTCTTCTTTCTGAAGTGCATGAAGTAAGTTGTCTATTGTAACAAAAGTTTTCATGTTAGTTCTATTATCTGTGGTCATTTGTGTGATATATTTTTAAAGTCTTATTTAAAAAAGGACTGTATGAACATTTTTTGCAGAGATGGAGTAAAGAAGATAATTGTTAAGTTTTTCATGCCTGTTACATGGAGATAACACTTTTTTCAGACTATAGTGAGGCAAGTAAAAAAAGTAATTCCTGATTTGCAGCTATCAAACTATCTGAAAATAGCATATCTGAATATCCGATCATTAGTCAGTCCCACTGAGGCTGCATAGCTGTCTCTACATAACTCATTAGCACTAGCTGAGAAATGATTCGCAAAAGCCCAGTTTGCTACACATCTTAAAGCTCTTGAAGCTCATTCAGGAAGCCTGTAATCACTCAAGTTGCTCTAGATAAATAACTATTAAGAACTGAGACAATTTCAGAGGCAGTCTTGTTGTGAATAAAACATTGCCCACAGTTTCCATTAAAAAAAGAATTGAGACAAAATACAATGTTAAAATTTTACATTTAAAACATTAGGCTGACCATTTTTCTTTTGCTAGATTACAGCCTGTAATTGATAATTATCTTCATTTAGAATATGATAACATGATGCTATGAGAATAGGTAGTCTGAAGTGGCACTGAGTCCACATATCAATGAAACTATTCTGAACTGTCATTTAATTAATGGAATTGTGTTATATCGACCTTGATCATAATTTTATACTTCATTTGTTATGTCTGTATCTGGTAGAAATGTAATGTTACTTGCCTGATGTTTAATGGTATCATCTGACTTTTCAATGTGAGAAGGAAAACGTCTATTTCCTAGGGGAAAGAAGAATTACTTTTAAATACGAAAAAAAGATTGTTCTCTTGCTGAGTTGCAATATTATAATTACAGTTAATAACATAATTATTTTTTCAAATTAAAGCAGTAACTATAAATACAAGATGCACTTCTGCAAGTTCATTACCTAAAACTTAGGTCCACTGATCTCAGGAGATGGTCTGAACTCCCAACTTCTGATCCTAAGTTTCAGATCCTAAGTTACTTTACCAGTTTTTCTCCTCACCATTCCTCCTACTCCAGAATTACTCTGAACTTTATCTAGCAATCAAGGGGCAACCACCAAAGACTTCTGAGTATAGGAATTATATATCTAGGAAGATTACATTTTCAGAATATAGGGTAGGTTAACAGGAGGAAAAAAGATTGAAGGCAAATCATTGCAGTAGTTCATGGCACAAATGGTGTGAATAGAGAGGTGAAGGCAATGAGGGAATTTAAGGAAGTACATTGGAAGGAATATGGCAAATTTGGGATATAGAATATGAACATAAAAGTCCATATTAAGAGATGACTCAGGTTTTGTGCCTGGCTAAAAACGGGAAAACCGAGACTAGATTGGAGGGGGTTCTAGAAAAATTATGAATTTAGTTTTTCATATATTGAATTTGAGGTGCTCATGGCCACTCATATACAAATATTCTAGCATCCTAGGAGCATGTCAAATATCTTTTTACAGAGACTAGCAGAAATGAATATGGAAAACAGGGTGCATTTTTATGTCTTGAGAGGAAGACAGGCAGTAAAAGATGGAGGGCATCTTGGGGAGAATTTACTGGGACCACTAAATTGCTAATACTCACAAAATATTCACAAACATGGGATTCTAAATTTTATAAACGAATAGTTTTTTATCTTATAACCTGGAAAGGTGGTGGAACATTACTTTGGGGGAAAGAGCCAACATGACAAAATCATAACTGAAAGAAAATGGAATGGTTCTGAGTATTTTCTTACCTTCATCACTTAAAGATACAATTTGACTTTTTGTTCCATACCTCTGTTTCAATATGCAGAGAAATATATTAGTAATTAAGCTTCTAAGAAAGACTTTTGTTAATCAAAAGTAATCAAATTAATATATAGTGTCCATCACTCCCTTTCACACCATCATTCATCCTTAAGATCTGGTCTCTATTTTCAACCTCTTTTTGTTCCTCCTTATTGAAGATCTCAAAAAGACTCTCATGATAGCATTGGAGCATGCAGTGGCACTGGGGTTTGAGTTTGTGACCCAGTGCTTTGACTGCCAAGTGCCTTAAGCTACTGAGTCATCTTCCAAACCCTTAACTTCTTCCTGGATATCTCACAGGTACCTATATTGATGCTTTGTACCCTTGCATGTCCATCTTTCCAAACTGGTTAAAGAAATGGTATTTACTCCAGATGGTTATTCATTTATTTAAAACAAGGTTATTTATGCCAATGTAATATTAAATCTATTCTCTCTATATATCTCACACAGTTGGGCTATCTCTTAAAAACTTAGGCATTTCTAGGGAAGACTAGAATCTATATTCTCTGTGTCCTCAATGCATTTGTTTTTGGGGCCATATACAGTGGTGCTCATGGATCATGCCTGGTGGTGCTCAGTGAACTATATGCAGTGCTGCAAATCAATCCCAGCCAGTCAAGTGCAAGGCAAGCACTTTAAGCCCTATAATTCTCTCTGGTATGTCTCCATGCACTTTATATTGATTAAAACTCTCCTCCTGTTTTGATTGATATGTGTCTGGTCCCTGTAGCCTGTGCCACTCACATACTTTACCCTCTTTTCATTTCCTTCTAGCTTAGCACAGATCCTGGCTCTCCCTCTTTTCCATCTCCTACTGTTCCTCCTCCATATCTCAAATATTCAAGTTATTTCTCTAAGCTGCATAACAATTTATCATGAAGTTTATTCTTTATTCAGATTTTCTCCGCCAGGGAGAGGCTTTGGATCTGTGTAGAATCTCATTGTTTTGTTTCAATTAGAATTATGCAATTACACCAGTTATTTCAATAAAAATCAGTTACTGGTTAACACAAAGCATCTGATATGCAAGTCCTTCATTTGTTCTATTGTGTTGTTACGTACATCTGGAAGAGAAAAGGAAGTTGATTTTTTTTCAAGCTTCTTTGTACAGCTTTCAGATAGGTGAACCGATGCTAAAAGTAAAAGGAATAGACATGATTTAAATAACCATTTTGAAGTATAATGGAAGAATAATAAAATTTACTCATTTAAAATAGATGTATAAACCTATGAAACCATTGTCACAATCATCATTTCCATATATAAATTTCCTCATGACCCTTTATAGTTCATGCTTCTGTCTACATGTCTCCCAAGCAACCACTGATCTGCTATAAGTTAGTTAACAGGCTCTTCCTAGTTCTAGTTTCCTTGGATCGTGGAGAGAGCTAATTCACGGATGGGGTCGAGGGCTCCCAAGTCATGCTCAGACCATGCAGTCTCCACTCCAAGCAGCTGATTGTTAAGTGCTAGTGTTTAAGGATATGGTAAGAAGTTCTAAGGTGATGATGGTAAGAATCTGCATCATGCTGATGTCAGAGGCGATAGAACAGAAACTCTATGGGCCACACTCAACTGCGCTCAGGGACATATCAGGTGCCAGGGATTAAACCCAGGTTGGCCGTGTATAAGGCAAGTACATATGGGGAGTCCTTGAAAGTCTGAGTTTTAGGAGCACCCTGGATGCCACAAAATCAGACTCTAGAAGAGCAGGTTAGAAAAATCCATGAGGTTAAGAAAGAATCTAAATCAGGAGGCATACTGAAATGTTACAAAGTTGTGCTTTTCTAAAAGGAACAGGGGAACAAGAGTAGGCAACACTGGATAAAGTGTGCTGGTGAAAAACACATGTATGTGGCAAAACAAAATACTTCACTGCCAGTGATGTGCCACATTTCTCTGGGCCTGCAAAGTCCAAAGTCTAACGAAGGCAAGGTTTGGATGAAGAACATCAGCAGGGATCACTCGGTCTCAGTGACACTCAGAAAGTTCCAGGGAAGTTTATTGTGGATAGTGAGCTCAGAAAAGGACAGGGCTCTGAATTGAACCTGTGGAGCGGTGAGCAACAAAACGTTAGCTATTCATAAGGCAGTGATGCCATGCACTGAATAGGGAATTTAATCTGGGGCCAGGAGAAGCTGTGGAATTGCTGGTAAACATTATTGAAAAGCCATCAGCACTGGATGCCAATGAGGCCACTAACAAGTCCAGTGCTTTCATAAACTACTCTTTTTTAGAATTTCCCAATTGTAACATTTCACTTATGGATGGTTTGTTATGAGCAGCAATATATGCATTTTCATGTTTTTGACATAACTATATCAACACAAGCCCTACTAGATACACAGGCCTGAAAAAAAGATGATGTGTCTTCCCTGTCTGGAGAGATGGACTAGAAGAACAGAGTCACTTACTTTTTGATTCTTTCTCTGGTGGATGTTCACTCTCGCTTTCAGTTATGCTTACGTTCTCCATGACTGGTAGAGAAACTTAAAGAAACACAGACAAATGTTTCTTTTTAAAATAGTAAACATGACAAAATTACCCAAGATAGGATCTTATTCAGAAAGCAACTGATTAGAAAATCTAGGTAGTGGTTTTCAATGAAGGTGCCATTTTCAGTTATTACAAAAAGAGCAGGTCTTATTACTAGTATCTAGAGGGTAGAGGTCCATTGCTCACTTACTTTTAGATTCTTTCTTTGGTGGATGTTCGCTCTCGCTTTCAGTTATACTTACATTCTCCATCATTGGTAGAGAAACTTAAAGGAACACAGACAAATGTTTCTTTTTAAAATAGTAAACATGACAAAATTACCCAAGATAGGATCTTATTCAGAAAGCAACTGATTAGAAAATCTAGGTAGTGGTTTTCAACAAAGGTGCCATTTTCAGTTATTACAAATAGAGCAGGTCTTATTACTGGTATCTAGAGGGTAGAAGTCCATTGCTCACTTACTTTTTGATTCTTTCCTTGGTGGATGTTCGCTCTCGCTTTCAGTTACGCTTACATTCTCCATCATTGGTAGATAAACTTAAAGAAACACAGTCAAATATTTCTTTTTAAAATAGTAAACATGACAAAATTACCCAAGATAGGATCTTATTCAGAAAACAACTGATTAGAAAATCTAAGTAGTGGTTTTCAACAAAGGTTCTATTTTCAGTTATTACAAAAAGAGCATGTCTTGTTACTGGTATCTAGAGTGTAGAGCTCCATTGCTCACTTACTTTTAGATTCTTTCTTTGGTGGATGTTCGGTCTCGCTTTCAGTAACGCTTACATTCTCCATCACTGGTAGAGAAACTTAAAGAAAAACAGTCAAATGTTTCTTTTTAAAATAGTAAACATGACAAAGTTACCCAAGATAGGCTCTTATTCAGAAAGCAACTGACTAGAAAGTCTAGGTAGTGGTTTTCAACGAAGGTGCCATTTTCAGTTATTACAAAAAGAGCAGGTCTTATTACTGGTATCTAGAGGGTAGAGCTCCATTGCTAAATATTCTACAATGCACAGGACATCACCTGCCCCCTCAACTATCCCAGCTCAAAATATTAATGCTATAAGCTTGAGAAATACAGGAATAGGTGATGGGAGGCAGGTGATCCACTTTTATCTTGCCTAGATAATGCGGGTTGCAGGGCTATCTTCTGGGAGAAGGGTAAAGCTTTCTTCCTGCTCAGTAAATACATGGCCTTTTTTTCTCTGTAAAGGGCTGGAAACTCTCTAAATCCCAGTGGTCAGGAAAACCTTGGCTTGACTCAGACCTGACATATGCAAATTTATCTATGAAGGAAAGACTTACTGTTTGCAGTGATTCAGATAGACAAAAGGATCCCAAATGGTCTCTATGCAAATTAGGTATTTATTAGAGCTGCTCTTTATAGTGGTATGAAATATGTTTTCTGGTCACCTTTGAGTATGACTAATATAATTCCTGAAGCTGCTTGAGGGACAATATGGAGTGCCTGGATCGGTGATGCCTTGCCCATTGAATTCTGTCTAGCCGCTACCTTTCATATTATTCATTTTTTTCTGTCTCTTTCTTCTCTCATCGTCCTTTGTTTCTCTCTATCCTTAGATCTTCATTACTTTTATAATTATTGGCTCCTCTTCATCATCATTTTCTCATTTTGTATCTTTCATTATCATCTTTCTCTTTCTGTTATGTTCCCTTTGTCCCTCATTACTTTTATTTGTACTGGTCTTTCTGTGTCACAACTCCCTCTCTGTCTCTTTCCATTAGTCCTTCATTATCTGTGTATGTGTTCTATCTGTCTTCTTTGTCCCTCATTACATTTTCACTTTGGATTTCTCTGTACACCCACTGTACTATTGCTTTAGCCCTAAACTACTACTTTGCAATGACTTCTCCCTACCCCCAACTCCCTGCCCTGACTTATTCTCTCTATCCCCTATATAATCACTTATCAAATTATCATGTTTATTTTGTCTTTCAAGCTTCTTTTCAAACTTTTTTTTGCTTTTTGGGTCACACCCAGTGATGCCCAGGGGTTATTCCTGGCTCTGCACTCAGGAATTATTCCTGGCGGTGCTTGGGGGACCATACGGGATGCTGGGAATCAAACCCAGGTTGGCCATATGCAAGGCAAATGCCCTACCCGCTATGCTATCACTCCGGCCCCTTTTCAAACTTTTGAATCCTGTTTCAAACCTCTCTACAGCGCCCACAGAGATAGAACAATTGCAAATAGTGATCAGTCAAGTGTAAACCTGAGCACTGCTGGGTGTGGCCCCAAATCCCAATTGTTTTTATCATATTTTAAGTTATATGTTTACACTGGTGTAAATTACTCCACCAATGCCCTTCTACTGCTTCCAGTCCACTGCAACCATTCCTCACACCCACCCCACCTTAACCTGTTAAACAAAGCTTTATCTTACATAGTCATGTTCTGTCTTATTTTACATTTTTCCTCTTTTAAAAATTTTTCCTTCCTTAGTTTTCAATTTCCCTTGCTATCCTTCTCCTCTCTCCTTTCCTCCTCCCAGAACCACCTGTTACCCTTCATGTTCGCAGTGCTCAGGTATTTACACTGGGCTCTGCCTTTTGACTGCATGCATTTATAAGTGTCTTAGCCTCTGCTCCAGCCCTTTTAAAACGTACCTTCAATTGGATTTTATTCTTAAACATTTTTCTTGTGATATCCTGTTTGTATTCTCTCAGATATTCCTGGATTGTTTGCACCGTGACAAATTCCAACACCACATTTACCATTGATGTCAGCGTCTTTTCACAAAAACTCTCCTATCACCTTATACCCTATATACATTTATTCATTTTTTGAACACGACATACATTTATTCATTTTGAACCCAGTTCTGCTAATTATTTTGCATAATATTTTGCTAGACATCACAGCAATTGCCTCTGAATACAAAGCATACACTCACACCTTTGAGCCATCTCCCTAGATCTCTTTTCTCTCTCATTAGCTCATTTGTGTAATCTTTTCTGACTCAGTAAAATTTTTCTTATATCCTTGGCTTTTTGTGCTGTCTCCTTTACAAGTTCATTTGAAATCTGTGATATAGGGGGCTGGAGCAATGGTATAGCAGGGAAGATGCTTGCCGTGCATTACTGGGGATCCAACACAGAGACTTGTGAATGGAAAGGATGTAAGCCTTAACTGTGGCCCCCAAACCAAAAATAAATAAACAGATCTGTGATATAGACAGTCTTGTGAAATCTGAACTTTATAGACATTTCATTTAATAATATAATCATATATGCATATGTGTCTGCACACTTTTACAACTTGAGTTGTAACTGAGAAGTGCCTGTCTCAGGGAGCCACTACAGTCAAATCTGAAGGTGATCTGGCGGCCATACATTATTGGGGATAAAGCTCAGGGACTTGTGGACTTCCCACTACTTGTGAACTTGTGACTATATGAGCACACAGAGGGATTTTACAAAGTCACAGATACTTAAAATACATGCATCTTTTTCTTTGATTGTCATGCTCACCTTCCACTCCAGTCAATGATTGTTTCTGAAGTGTACTTTTAGGCATAGATTCTTCCTTTTTAAAAGGGTTCTTTTGCATTTTTTGTAAATGATAAGCAAGTTTCTTCTCTAGAAGCAGTTGTTTCTAAAATAGTAAACATATATTTAATGTACTAACTTGTCACTGACAATGCAAGCAGATATTTCAAATATGATGATATATTTGAAGGGAGCCCTCATTCTTGTCTTGAAGTTCTAGAGTCACAATGAGTACAAAGTTTAGAAGGTAGTAATGGTAAGTTTTTGTTTTCCAGCAAGATAAAGAAGATATTTTAAATTCTATAGGGGTCTACCAAGCACTGCTTGTGGGGTCAGAGACTTGTGAATGGAAAGTATGCCTTCCAACTCTTGGAGCTATCTCCTTGGCCCAACTGATCTCATTGCCTACTTTTCTGGAGACAGCTTCCATTCAGATCACTTTTCAAGTCCAGTTTCAGACCTGTCTGTGTCTAACAATACCCTTGTGAGTTTAGGTCATTCGTATTATCAAACTTGACAAATATAACTTGAAGAAAATATGAATTTAATATATACATTTCAAGTAAATCACTGTATCACTGTCATCCTGTTGTTCATCGATTTCCTGGAGCAGGCACCAGTAATGTCTCCATTCTCATTCTGATATTTTAGCAAGTGCCACATTGGAGGCTCTTTCAGGGTCAGGGGAATGAGATCCATCATTGTTATTAGGTTTTGGCATATTGAATACGCCACAGGGAGCTTGCCAGACTCTGCCGTGCGGGCAGAGTACTCTCGGTAGCCTACCGGGTTCTCTAAGAGCGAGAACTAGACAATAAGAGGTTGCATGGTCATGAATGTAAATAAAAACACATTTTATATTTTAAATGCAAAATATCAAACTTGGAAAAAACTTTCTCCTCAAACTGTCCTAAGTTTACAAGTAAAACCTTACCCTACCTTTAAATCAGCTTGTTCTCTAGTTTTCTGACGTTGTTTCTCAAGTCTCTCTTCTCTTTGTACTTCTTTTCCGATCTTTGAGAGAAGCAACATTTCTTTCACCTTCCAATCCTAAAAAGAGAACAAAGTCACAGTAGTCAAAAGTACTTTCAAAACATTTTTGGGTTATTTTGACAATATACAAAATTGATCTAAATAAGGGCTATTTTTCCCAATCCTAAGGAGAGCACAAAGTTACAGTAGTCTTTTGTAATCATTTTTGGGTTATTCTGACAACCTGACAATATATAAAATTGATCTAATTAAAGGCCTAACAGAAAATGGGTCAAATATCTTGCCTTGACATTTGGATGTGCTAGTGTTCTTTTTGTGGGGGGGAGGGAAAATGTGGACGGAAAAAGAAAGAAAATCATTATGATGCTGTTGGAAGCATAAAACTGGTTTCTCTTATGGAGTCTGACTATGTATCATATGTAATCTGCACTAAACAAAAGCCTTTTCTGGACTTCAAAGAGAATGCAGGTCTGATTATTTTTCACTGGAGTGAAATTTTGAAATTTTAAGATCACCTGAACTGTGACGCTAATTCAATAGATAATTTGTGGTATCAGTACCACACTATGTTAATTAAGTTAAATCTTGTCTATTATAGTGACTATAAAATAATGATAAAATATTAACAGTAGTAACTTTTTAAACTTGTAAATTAAGGTAATGTTGCTAAGAATGTTTATAATTGAAACTGCACTGCACAATTTCCCCCTTAATATTTAAAATGTGTTTCTTGCCTCTTCAATTTGTTTGTGTAGATAAAGTTGTTTTTTGATGTTTTGCTGATACTGGTTTTCCTCTTCCTTGATGTAACTTGTGGGTGGTTTTTCTTTCTTCTCATTCTTCTTGTGTAGTTCCGTATTAATCATGTCTATATACCTAGTAAAGATGCAAATACAGATGACAGCAAATGAGGGTTTTCCTAATCACTTTCTGGATTGCTAATTTATTTCTTGAACTACAGGAAGTGAGAGTTTTTTTCAGGGACTCTTTCTCTATGCTATACTCATTTTAACAGACTTATTTATTGTGGATGGGACAAAGGTGAAATGTGGAACAGTTCATAAACGTTTTATAGAGATTAATTTTAACTGAGAAGTTCAGGAATATATTTTTAAAAAATTGATCCTTATGGATGTTAAAAAAATATTTGTAGGGCTGGAGTGATAATACAGTGGGTAGGGTGCTTGCCTGGCACATGGCTGAACTGGGTTCGATCCCAGACATCCCTAAACACCGTCAGGAGTAATTGCTGAGCAGAGAGCTAGGAGTAACCCCTAAACACCGCTGGATGTGGCCCAAGCCCCCAAATTTAACAAAAAATTCCTTAAAAGAAGTGGGTACTACTCTGCAACTCTCGATTCTTTGGACTGTCGTAGATAATTGAGTATTCTGATATATCAGACATGGATTCATGGAATATAAGATCCAGGTGATGGGAACTAGTGCCAGGGAGAAAAAAAATCCTAAAACTCATGTTTGTAATATAACATAAAATGTATGTATACACTGAATGAACATACACAATTTGGTATACCAAGAATACACATGGTTGGGTGATTGAGGAATATATTCATAGCTACTGTTCTTCTTTGATCTTGAAATGATAATTTACTTAAATTTGAAAGGAGTTAATGACACCTCTCCCTCTGTTACTATGGACTGGAGTTTCCTATTTGCACTTTCAATTTCTTCAGATGTCAAGTGTACTTACCTTTTGTTATCCTAAACTCTCCTCCCTAGCCCTGGTAGCCAAGGTTCTCATCTCTTACTGTTTAATAACCTTTTCTTTTTTCCACACTGAAGGTGTGTCTAATTTTTTAAAAACTGTTTTCAATGGTTTCTAGTGTTTTTATAACCTTTTTGGGGTAAACAGACTGTATATTAATAGAATGTATATTAATAATGTAAATTAATTGATGATACCTCTGTCTTAAGAAAGCTTCCTTTCCTGAGCTTACTTGTGATTTTTCTTCCAACAACCAGTCTTGAAATTGGTTCTTTTCTTCAAGCTGGTAAGGTTTCTTAAGTTTGTAACAATTGCTTATTTGCTTCTGAAGCATTTTCTGAAAAAAAAAAAAAGAAGAATCTCATTGTACCTATCTTTTGAAATGCTTTCTTTTATGTTTAGTAAACTTGCTGTATTTTTCAAATTTTGTTGACCTACGTTTAAGTCTAGCATAGGTCTATTCTAGACAAGTGAAAAAATTATTTAACTGAAATTATGGCAAAAGTATAATTTTTACCTTATGTAATTCTAGATAACTTATTTGATATCTTAATACTTCCAGGTCAGAAACAGAAGAGCAACACTTTCCTCAAAATTCTGTACAATTTTTCTTACAAACCTCATTTTTGCTTTTTGGGTCACAGCCAGCATTGCACAGGAGTTACCCCTGGCTCATGCACTCAGGAATTACTCCTGGCAGTGCTCGGGGGACCATATGGGATGCTGGGAATAGAACCCGGGTAGGCCGAGTCCAAGGCAAACGCCCTACCCACTGTACTATCGCTCCAGCCCACCTCATTTGTTTTTAACTTACCTGTTCTCGTATATAGTTTCTTTCAAAGTCTAATTTCAAACTGGTCAGATAATCCTTGTATTTATTTAATTCTTTCAAACTACAGGTAACCTAAAAAAGGAAGTCAAACACCAAATAAAACTTTCCAGCATCACAATTATATTCATTTTAGTAACAACTTTGGAATCAAGAATAATTATAATATATTTTGGCAACAATTTAGAAAGCAATGTCTTTCTAATATTGTCTGTACCACCAGGAAATTTTGATATGAATAAAATCATTTCAGTAGTATGGCTCATATCATGCGGCGTTTACTATCTCAAATGAATGCTATTAAAATACTACTAGAATAACATTGTTTAATCCCTGAAAGAATTTATTCTATCAAGCTGTACTTTGCTCAGTTTCATTTTGCCTCTAGTCTTCGTAAAGAATATGGGGAATATTTCTTTGGTAGTGCATACAGAATTATTATTACTTTTAGAGGAAAGGCAGTAACATAAACAGGGCTAGGAGAAAAATACAAATACCTTGTGTGTTTTTATGTACTCAAATCTTTTTATGTTTATCATTTACTCTAAATGTTGTAGGAACAACTAGTTTTATTTATAAATAATAGTCCCTTGTTTCTCTTTTCACAAATACTAACTCACTGAGTTTTCTATTAGGTGTTTATCCTTTACTGCTCAGCTAAAAGTTGATATAAAGGTTCAAATACAGAGGCAAGTGTCAATAGTCCCTGAGTTTATGCTGATTAACAATAAATAAGCTCCAACTCACTTTATTGTTGCTGGTGATATAGCCATCTTTCTTTAGTTTCTTCAGCATATGTTTTCGATTATAGTATGATTTTAAATGTGGATCATGTAGGCTTTTATAGCTAGTGTCCATATGCCGGCAATATGGATCACTCAAATTAAAACCATAAGATGGTTGATAAAGCTGAAAACAGATTCAAAATCATTAAAAAAAGAATAAAAGTAAAATAATAAAAATATACAACAATTGTGTTTAAAATAAATAAAGCAATTAATTTAATATAAAATGATCAAGATTTTAAAATGTTAAAAATAATACAATTTTTAAAATTTAATTTTGGTATTTAAGTCACATCCAGTAGTGCTCAGGGTTTATTCCTAGTTTTTTGCTCAGGAAGTACTCTGATAGTTGTCAGGGGACTATATGTGGTACCAGTGGTCAGCTGCTTGCAAGGCAAATACTATCTCTCCAACCTGAAACTGCATTTTTTAAAATTTTTATTTATTTATTTTGCTTTTTGGGTCACACCTGGCGATGCACAGGGGTTACTCCTGGCTCTGCACTCAGAAGTTACTCCTGACAGTGCTCAGGAGATCATATGGGATGCTGGGAATCGAACCCGGGTCAGCCGCGTGCAAGGTAAATGCCCTACCCGCCGTGCTATCTCTCCAGCCCCCGAAACTGCACTTTTAAACTTCAATATGTTGACATTTATTAGGCTTTTGTTTGAAAAGAAATGTGAGCAGAATTTAAAGTGAGGGAAAACCTAACTGCCTTTCTCTTCCCCTCTTCTCCACTAGACCTATCTTTATGATGGAAGTGGTCTGTGGAATCCCAACTGCTGAACGTAAGAGTTTCTGCAAGGTAGGTAGGATGTTTGATACTTAGGCAAAGCAGCAAGACAGCAGGGGTACAAGAGGGTCCTAGCTTTCTATTCCCACTTTAGAGTTTTATTTGTAGATTTCTGGATCAGATGTCAAATTCTTTTTGTTATCCTAGAGACCTATGTTCCTGACTATCAATATTTCTTTAAAGAGACAGAGCCATCTTCTGGACAATGACTTAATTTACAGATAGAAATCTATACCTTAGAAAAGGAAAACCCAATAATTGCTGAAATTAGTAGATTGACTATTACTAGTACTTTTTTAAATTAATTTATTTTTTTAATTTTACTATTACTTTTAGATGTTGAATTTTGTTGGTCACAATTTTGTTGGAGCAAACTTCATGGGCTACTGAATTGTCAAGAAAGAACGTATCTATTTATTAAGGCCAATGTAAGTCTTCTGTTATTAATTAAAAGAACTGTTTTGCCCATAGACTTTGCTCTATATTGTCACTAACTGCCAGTGGAAGAAAATAGGGAAAGCTTTAAAATGTGCAAAGTGTTTGTATCGCTTAACGAATCACGAATCATGACCATCTTGTTATTTGTCGATTGCCTCGAGCAGGCCCCAGTAACGTCTCCTTCATCCTAGCCCTGAGATTTTTAAGAAAGTGCTATATTCAAGGCTCCTTAGGAGAATGAGACTCATCATTGTTACTGGTATTTGGCGTATTGGGTACGCCACGGGGAGTTTGCCAGACTCTGCCGTGTGGGAAGGTTACATTCGGTATCGCTTAACATGTTATTTTAACTTGAAAGCTAAGTGTGTAACTGACAAAGTAGTTGCTATTAACTTTACAATAAAACCTATGTCTTAAATACAATAACAAGCATATTAATTTATAGATAAACTTACGGGAAGATATACTTAGTATGATGTTGAAATATTGGATAGCTTGTCAAGTTTTTGTTAATGCATAGTTAAATATAGGAAGGTTACAATGTTACACTTTAATTCTGTTGAAAACTTGGACAGAATACTGTCATTTTACTTCTACTTATGGTTCAAACAATATGAAGTATCTAAATTTCTTTTTTTCTTTTCAGCTTTTTTTGGAGTCACCCCCAGCCATGCTCAGAGATTACTCCAGGTATTTGGAGGACTATATGGGGTACCTGGGATTGAACCCTGGTCACCAGTGTGCAAGGCAAAAGCCCTATTATCAACTGTATTATCACTATAGCCCTAAATTTCTTATTTCCTTAATGCTTTGCTAAAAAGGTATTGAGGAAGCAGGAAAGTCCGGTGAAAGAGTGTGGCCTACGAGTCATGAAACAGTGGTACTGATCTAAACTTTGCCTAGATCTACCTGTGACTTAAATGAATCATAGTTCTATCTCATGAGTTTCAAAAAAATGCTAAAAATGGGGTCAGAAGTACAACAGGTAGGGTGCTTGACTTGCACACCGCCAACCTGGAGTCTTATCTGGGAATCACATTGGTCTACCAAGTGATCCCTGAGAAAAAAGCTAGGAGAAAGACCTGAGAAGCACTGGATGTGGCTCCCAAACCACAAAAAGTTACCATGGAGAGGGTAGGAGGGTGAGCTTTAGAGGGGGATGCTCTGGTAGAAGGTGTGGTGTTGGAACATCGAAAGCATAAAACCTAATCATTAACAGTATTATAAATCATGATGCCTCAAATAAAAAATCATTTTAAAATTCATAATTATGAAAATTATAATTACTAAAAATTTAAATTTAAAAGAATTTGAGAAAAAGTCTTTTAAATTTAAAACAAAATATTTACAACTATTTTAAATTTTATTTTAAAATATTTTAAAATGATAAAATTATTAAAATTTAAATTTGAATAATTTAAATAAAAATATTTTAAGTTTAAAATAAAAAACTTAAAATTAAAAATTATTTTAAGGGGCGGAAGCAATAGAACAGCGGGTAGGGCGTTTGCCTTCCACGTGTCTGACCTGGATTGACTCCCAGCATCCCATATGGTCCCCTGAGCACTGCCAGGAGTAATTCCTGAGTGCAGAGCCAGGAGTAAGCCCTGTGCATCGCCGGGTGTGAGCCAAAAAGAAAAAAATATTCTTTTAAAAGGCTGAAATACAGCAGATAGGGCATTAGCCTTGCATGTAGCCATCCAGAGTTTGATACAGGGCATCCCATATGTCCCCAAGCACCACCAGGTGTAATACCATTTTTTCATTTCATTATTTTTTTATTGAATCACTATGAGATATAATTACAAAGCTTTCATTATTGAGTTTTACTCATATAATGATCAAACACCATTGGTGGGACATTTTCCACCAACAATATCCCCAGTATCTCAATAGCAGCTCCACCCCATTCAACCTTTGTCTCTGTGTCAGCCACCTTCTTTTTTAAAGAGTAATTTTTGAGAGAAGTCAGGCATAAACCCTGAGTATCACCAGGTGCGTACCAAAAAGACTAAAAAAAAAAATTTTTTTTGCTATTTTTTGGGCCATACCCAGCAACGCACAGGGGTGACTCCTGGCTCATACACTCAGGAATCACTCCTGGCAGTGCTTGGGGGACCATATGGGATGCAGGGAATCGAACCTGGTTCAACCAAGTGCAAGACAAATGCCCTAAACTGCTCTGCTATAACTCCAGCCCCGTAAAAAAAATTTTTAGATTTATTTTTAAATTATTTTAAAATAAAAAATATTTTAATTTAATTTTAAAAATGATTTTGAATTTAAAATGAATTTTATAATTCAAACTTTTAGTTTAAAATATTTAAATTAAAATAATTTTAAATTTAAAGTAAAATATCTGAAACTCTTTTGAATATTATTTTAAACTTATTTAAATGAATTATTTTACATTTCAAATTATGAAAAATACAATTATTAAAAAATTTAAATTTTAAATAATTTTATATTTAAAACAAAAGTGAAATTTTTAAATTTTAGGGCCGGAGCGATAGCACAGAGGGTAGGGCGTTTGCCTTGCACCTGTCAGTCTAGGTTTGATCCCCAGCACCCCATATGTTTCCCCAGGCACTGTCAGGAGTGATTCCTGGGTGCAGAGCCAGGAGTAACTTCTGAGCATTGCTGGGTGTGACCCAAAAAGCAAAAAAAATAATAATAATAAATTTTATTTTAAAAATATTTTGAAATAATTTTTAATTTAAATAGTTTAAATGAAAATTATTTTAAATTTAAAGTAAAATATATAAAATTATTCAAAATTTTATTTTTAAATGAATTTGATGTAAAATTTAAATTTTTAAATTATAAAATTATGATTACTATTTTATTTAAAATAATTTAAATAGTATTGTTTAAAATTTAAAATAAAATATTTTAAATTATTCTAAATTTTATACTAAAATTATTTAAAATGAAAATTATCTAAAGTTTCAAATTATAAAAATTATAATTATTATAAAATTTAAATTTTAAATTAAAACTAACATTTAAAAAAATTTTTTTTGCTTTTTAGATCACACGCAGCAATAATGAGGGGTTACTCCTGGCTCTGCACTCAGGAATTACTGGTGGAGGTACTCAGGGAAACATATGAGATGTCGGGGATCAAACCTGTTGTGTGTAAGGCAAACACCTTAACTGCTGTGCTATCTATCCGGCCCCTAAAACTAAAATTGTTTTAAATTTTATTTTAAAATGAGTTTGAAACAGAAATTATTTTAAAATTTAAATTATGAAATCATGATTATTAATATTTTAGTTAAAATAATTTAGATAGAAATTATTTTAAATTTAAAATAAAATATTTAATATTATTCTAAATTTTATTTTCAAATTATTTAAAATAAATTAATTAAAGATACAAATTTAAAATAAACTAATATTATTTTAAATTAAAATAAAACATTAATATTATTTAATTTTATCTTAAAATTTTTAAATAGAAATTATTTGAAATTTAAAATTATAAAATTTATAATTAAAATAATTTAATATTATTCTAAATGTTATTTTAAAATTATTTTCAAGGGGCTGGAGCAATAGCATAGCAGGTAGGGCATTTGCCTTGCACGCCGTGAACCAGGGTTCGATTCCCAGCATCCCATATGGTCCCCTGAGCACCACCAGGGGTGATTCCTGAGTGCAGAGCCAGGAGTAACCCCGGCATCGCCAGGTATGACCCAATATTAAATATTAGAATAAGAACAATATTAAAGTATTTTTAATCATAAATTTTATAATTTGAAATTTGAAATAATTTCTATATTAAAATTTTAAGATAAAATTAAATATTAAATATTTTATTTTAAATTTAAAATAATTTTAGTTTTATTTTAAATTTGCAACTTTAAATAATTTGATTTTAAATAATTCAAAAATAAAATTTAGAATATTAATTTTTAATTTAAAATAATTCAAATACAAATTATTTTTTAAATTTAATATAAAATATTTAGTATCATTTTACATTTATTTTAAAACTATTTTAAAATAAAATTATTAAATAGTTATAATTATAAGATTATTGTTATTAAAATATTTGACATATAATTTAAATAAAATTGTTTTAAATTTAAAATAATTTAAAATTGTTTAAATTTTAAAAAAATATTAAAATTCATAATCATAATTATGTTGAATTAAAAAGAATTTAAATTTATATTTAAGATAAAATATTTAAAAAATAGAATTATTAAAACTTTTAAAATTCACGTGCAATAACCCTACCCTCTGTATAATCGCTTCGGCCCTTAACATTATTTTTAAAACGAAAAGAACAAATACCGGAGGTTTAAAATTAGAATCTTATTTCCCTGAGACCAGCTAAAACACAAAGAAACATCCCAGTCTTCTGACTTTGTTATGGGGGGAAAGCAATATAATAAAGTCTAGGAGGACTTACAATAATTAGCTAAGACCGGAAATAAGCAATAGCTAACAAGCGAACGACAGAGGAAGGGTATAGAAATGACATATAGATGGCTGCGATTACTATATAATATATGCAATTACTACAATAGCTATCATATTACTAATAGTGAAAAAAAGTTTTGAGCATCTTTTAGCAAGCTAAGCTTTGGCAAACGGAACTCGGATGAAATACATTTAGCAGAACAGACTGCTTTCAAAAGCAAAGTACTGCTTCCAGAAACGAAACTTAAAATATCATGTGTATTAGACACACATCAATAATGCCAAGGGGCCTCTAAGTCATCATCATGGCGCCCGAGCTTCCGGAAGAGGAAGGCCTACGGAAACCGCCAGGGAACTTCTTTTACATTGTGATCAAAGCAAGTTCTAAGCCACAGTCCGGCACTTCCGCTACGCTGGGCCCCAAAGCGGAAGCGAGGGAGGGGGAGGGCGTGCCACCATGAATCAGTCCCTTAACTGACGTCTTACAGAACACGGCCAAAGAAAATTCTAATACAGAACGCACAACTGGGGTGATACTAAGTCTAGGACTCATCCACAAACACAGTTTCACATTTAACAGCAAGCTTTAAGACGATTTCAGTCCTACCAAGACACTTTACCTTTTCACATAAATTGGTTGTATAGAATACATTGCGGGTCCCGGGAAAAACGGGCAATTTAACCCCCAAAGGAAGGTCCAGCAGGTGGGTGGGTCCAATCTCTGGAACCGCTTTCTTTTTCGATTTCTGTCGGGCATAATTGGGAAGTCTATTTCGTTTCTCAAACGACTTCGTTTGGACCAATCCCCTAACACTGCCGCGGGCTAATACAGCGCCCAAAGAGACCCAAAGGGAACGATTCAAAAGAAGCCGCCGGGCCGCTACCCCGGAAGGTGTTCCCTCTTGCTCTGGCGCGCCTGCGCGCCCGCCCTTCCGCCCGGGCCTCCGGGGCCCACCCCAAGGGGCCGGCCTAGCGGCAGCCCGGGCCACGGTAGCCTCCAGACCTGCGACCCGGAAGTTAACCCCCAAGGCCCGCCCCTTCCCCTCCCTGGGGCCGAGCCGGGCCTCGCTAGCTTCCTCCGCCCCTCCACCTGATCCTGCCGGGGACCAGGGACGAGCGGGGGCTACAGGGCCCGCCGCGGCTACTCACGGCGCTGTCTTCGCCTTTCTTTTTCACCTTCGGCTTCCTACCGGCGAGCTCCTTGGCCGAGGCTTCCACCTTTTTACTGTGGCCAGGAGGCGGCTCCATCGGGCCGCCGTCAGCCCCCCGGGGACCGGGGGCTGAGGCTTAAAGCCCTTTGCCGCGTCCGCCCTCCACTCAGCAACTTTCTGCCGCTACCGCCAGCCAAGGTCTGAGCGACTCTGACCCTGTCACTCAGGGAGACTGGCTCGATGGGGCCGCACCCCTCACTATGTCGTACCCCACATTCCGGACTGGAATTCTAATATTTTCCGCTGACGTTGTTCCCAGCCAAATTCACCTGACCAGCCCCGCTGCGTCCCCCCACCCCGCCCCTGCCCCTCAGTCTCGTGACTTAGACCTCTCTTGTGCTCAGAGCTGAGGAAGGGATGCAGAGGGGATGCAAGGCGGGGGCACAATTGGGATTGCATTTTTCTCTGAAACCAACACCTCTCATTGAACTAAACCAGGACCTTTCAGGCATTGCCGGTTACTGGCTGTCTCTAACTCCTCTCATTCTTGCTGGGTCCACAAGCGCTGTTAATCTGTGCAGCACACATTCACAAATAGTCGTTTACACTGCTGTTTAAAAAAACTCCCTTTGCACATATACCCCCTTAATGGACACTAAAACTTCATCCCACTTCCGTTTCTAAAATCACACCAGTTTCTCTACTTTCCCCTCTCCCTTCCTCTACTCTCCTCTCCCCTCCCCTCCACTCCACTCACCTCTCCTCTCCCCAACACTCCAATCTCCATCTCCCTTTTTTCTCCCTCTCCTCTGCATCACCCTGTGAACACCCTCCTATTCTCTCCTCTCCTCACAACACCCCTCCACTCTCTCCTCTCCTCTCCCCTCCACTACACTCCTCTCCTCTCCCCAACTCTCCTATCTCCATCCCCTTTTTCTCTTCCACTCTTCTCCATCTCCCTATCACCTCCCTCCTCTTCTCTGCTCTCCGCTTTTCATCTCTATACTCCTCTCCTCTCCCCTCGTCTGCTCTCACCTCCCGTCCCATTTCATCTCTTCCTAACTCATCCATCTCCATTTCCATTTTCTCTCCCACTTTCCTCCATCTACCTCAAAACTGCCTCCTCTTTTCTCCTCTCCCCTCCCTTTCCTTTTCTCTCTCCTCTCCTCTCCCCTCCCCTCCACTCTCCTCTCCTCACCTCTCCCTAACTCTCCCATCTCCATCCAGCTTTTCTCTCCTCTCCATCTCTCTATCACCCCCCTCCTCTACTCTGTTCTCCGATTTTAAATCCATTCTCCTCTCCTCTCTTCTCTCCTCGCCTCTTCTCTCCCTTCTTCTCTTCTCCTGAACTCTCCTCTCCTCTCCTTTCCTCTACACTCCCCTCCACTCGCAACTCATCTCTTTTCCTGACTCTCCCACCACCATCTCTCTATTTTCTCACCTATTTTCTCACCCTATTCTCACACACTCCCTCTCAACTCCCTCATCTCCTAGGTTCTCCTCACTTTTCATCTCTGTTCTCCTCTCTTCTCTCTGCTCTCCTCCCTTCTCATCTCTATTCTCTTCTCCTCTTCTCTCCTCACCTCAGATGTCCTCCCTACTCATATCTATTCCCCTCTCCTCTCCTCTCCTCTCCCCTCCTCTCCCCTCCCCTCTTTTCCTTTCCCTGGCCGTCCCCTCCGCTCCCCTCTCAACTCTCCTTTCTGACTCTCCCATCTCCATCTCCCTTTTCTCTCCCTCTCCTCTCCATCTCCCTCTCAACTCCCTCCTCTCCTATTCTCCCCCCTCCCCTCCACTCTGATATCCTCTCCTCTCCCTAATTCTCCCATCTCCATCCCCCTTTTCACTCCTCATCTCTCCATCTCCCTATCACCTCACTCCTCTTCTCTGCTATACTCACTTTTATCTCTATTCTCCTCTCCTCTTGCCTCTTCGTCTCTCCTCTCCTCTCTTCTGCCCTACTCTCTTCTCAACTCCCCTCCCATTTCATCTCCTGTTCCTGACTCTCACAACTCAACCACAGATTTCTATTCCCTCTCTTCTCTCCTCTACCCTTACCTCTAATCTCTACTCTCCTCTCCCCTTCCCTCCACTCCCACATACGTTCCTACCCCTAAATCTCCCATATCCATCCGGCTCTTCTCTCCCTCTCCTATCCATCTCTATTACCTCCATTCTATTCTCTGTTGTCCTTTTTCATCTATATTCTCCTCCCCGCCTCTCCTCTCCCCTCCTCTCCTCTCCTCTCCTCCCCTCTCCTCTCCTCTTCTCTCCACTCCCTTCGCCTCTCATCACCTCTTCTTGACTCTCACATCACCATCTCCCTTTACTCTGCCTCTAGTCTCCACCACCTTTTCAACTACCTAAGCTCATCTTCTCTCCTCCATTCTCATCTCTATTCTCCTTTCCAATTTTCTCCTCTGGTCTGCTCTCCTCCCTTCTCATATCTATTATCTTCACCTTTTTGCTCCAATCCTCTGCTGTCCTCCCTTCACATCTCCATTTTCCTCGCCTTTCCTTTCCTCTCCTCTGGTCTCCTCTCCTCTCCCTTTGCCCCCTCTCCTCACCTCTCCCATCCTCTCCTTTCCTCTACTGTGCCCTCCACTCCACTCCACTAGCCTCTCATCTCCTCTTCCTGACTCTCCCATCACCATCTCCTTTTTCTCACCCTCTGCTCAGGCACTCCCTGTCAAACCCCTCATCTCCTATGTTCTCACTTCTCATCTCTATTCTCTTCTCCTTGTCTCTCCTCTCCTCTGCTCTACTCCCTTCTCATACTATTCTCTTCTCCTCTACTCTACTCTCCTAGGCTCTCCTTTCTTCTCATCTCTATTCTCTTCTCTCCTCTCTTCTCTTCTCCTCTCCTCTCCTTTCCTCTCCTCTCCTCTCCTCCCCCTTCCCCTCCCCTCCTCTCCTGAACTCTTCTATCCTCTTCTTTCCTCTACTGTGCCCTCCCCTCAACTCCACTCACCTCTCATCTCCTCTTCCTTACTCTCTCAATACCATCTCCCTTTTCTTGCCCTCTCCTCACGCAATCCCTCTCAACCCACTCATCTCCTAGGTTCTCCTCACTTCTCATCTCTGTTCTGCTCTCTTCTCTCCTCTGCTCTCCTCTCTTCTCATCTCTATCCACTTCTCTCCTCTCCTCGGATGTCCTCCCTACTCATATCTATTCCCCTCTCATCTACTCTCCATTCCTCTCCTTACCTCTCCTCTCCCCACCTCCTCTCCTTTCCCAGAATCTCCCCTCCGCTCCCCTTTCAGCTCTTCTTCCTGATTCTCCCATCTCCATCTCCCTTTTCTCTTCCTCTTCTCTTGATCTCCCTCTCTAAACACTCCTCTCCTCTTCTTTCCCTTCTCCTCCTCTCTGATATCATCTCCTCTTCCCAACTCTCCCATCTCCATCCCCCTTTTCTCTCCCTCTCCTCTTCATCTTACGATAACCACACTCCTCTTCTATGCTCTACTCCATGTTATCTCTATTCTCCTCTTATCTTCTCTCTTCTCCTCTCCTCTCCTCTCCTCTCTTCTGCCCTACTCTCCTCTCAACTCCCCTCCCATTTCATCTCCTCGTCCTGACTCTCATATCTCCATTACAAATTTCTCTCCCTCTCTTCTCCAAATCCCTCTCAACTCTCTCCTCTCCTCTACCCTTACATCTACTCTCTCCTCTCCTCTCCCCTCCCCTCCACTCCCATATACTCTCCTTTCCCTAACTCTCCCATCTCCATCCGTCGCTTCTCTCACTCAACTCTCCATCTCTATCACCTCCATCTTATTATCTGTTCTACTCATTTTTCATCTCTATTTTCCTCCCCTCCTTTCCCTTTCTCTCCTCTCCTCTCCTCTCCTCTCCTCTCCTCTCCTCTCCTCTCCTCTCACCTCACCTCCACTCCCTTAGCCTCTTATCACCTCCTCTTGACTCTAACATTACCATCTCCCTTTTCTCTCCTTCTAGTCTCCATCACCTTTTCAAATACCTAAGCTCATCTTCTCTCCTCCATTCTCATCGCTATTCTCCTTTCCTCTTTTCTCCTCTGGTCTGCTCTCCACCCTTTTCATATCTATTATCTTCACCTTTTCTCTCCTCTTCTCTACTGTCCTCCCTTCCGATCTCTATTCTCCTCTCCTTTCCTGTCCTCTCCTCTGCTCTCCTCTCCTTTCCTCTCCTTTCCTCTGCTCTCCTCTCCTCTCCCTTAGCCTCCTCTCCTCACCTGTTCCATCCTCTCCTTTCCTCTACTCTGCCCTCCCATCCACTACACTAGCCTCTCATCTCCTCATCCTGACTCTCCCATCACCATCTCCCTTTCCTCGCCCTCTGCTCAGGCACTTCGTGTAAAACCCCTCGTCTCCTATGTTCTCCTCACTTCTCATCTCTATTCTCTTCTCCTCATCTCTCCTCTTCTCTGCTCTACTCCTTTCTCATACTACTCTCTACTCCTCTACTCTCCTCTCCTCGGCTCTCCTTTCTTCTCATCTATATTCTCTTCTCCTCTACTCTCCCCTCCACTCTGATCTCCTCTCCCCAACTCTTCCCTCTCCATCCCCCATTTCTCTCCCTCTGCTGCCATCTCCCTATCACCTCCCGCCTCTTCTCTGCTCTCCTCCCTTTTATCTCTATTCTCCTCTCCTCTTATCTCCTCTCCTCTGCTCTCCTCTCCTCTCTCTTCGCATCTTCTCCTCACCTCTCCCCTCCTCTCCTTTCCTGTGTACTGCCCTCCCCTGCACTCTACTCGCCTGTCAACTCCTCTTCCTGATTGTCCCATCACCACCTCTCTTTTATCGACCTCTGCTCAGGCACTTACTCTCAAACCCCTTGTCTCCTACGTTTTCCTCACTTCTCAAATGTATTCACCTCTCCTCTCCACCCCTCTGCTCTACTTCCTTCTCATAATATTCTCTTCTCCTTTTCACTCTTCTGGTCTCCTCCCTTCTCATCTCTATTCTCATCTCCTCTGTTCTCCTCTCCTCTCCCCAACTCTCCCCTCTCCATCCCCCTATTCTCGCCCTCTCCTCATCATCTCCCTATCACCTCACTCCTATTCTCTACTCTCCTCCCTTTTATATCTTTTCTCCTCTATCCTTCTACTCTCCTCTCCTATCCTCTT